ATGCAGTATATAAAACTGCACAGAAAATAACTGACCACCCAGCCCATTGTTCCTTCACTGGTGCTAGTTTCAGTCATTATGCAAATGTATGTTTGTAAGGAAACCTGCAGTCAGCTGAGACTAAAGAAGTCACGTGGATGAGTGACAGACGTTTCTCCCACTGAAAACGCTACATCCAGATGAACAGAATTAAATTTTTGGGATTTACTTAACTGTACAGCTTTACATTTATGGAATATCAGTATTTATAATTCCATCTCATCCTCTATGCATGTTGTATTTTTCAGAGAATGATCCAGCTGCAGAAGATGTCAGTTATGGACAAATCATGGTCAAAGAGAAACACAGTGAATTAAAGATGAGAGGTACAGCTGCATTTCTCTATCTCCATAATGGTTTAATTTTATAGCCAGACATTAAGGATTTGGTTTAGTAGCTTTAAAAAAAAAAAACATTGTTCACCATGTGAGTAACGTGGTGTCATTTCCTAATAATCATGAGGCTGATGGGAATATTATGAGTTTCACCAATTTGTTGTTGTATCAGTGCTGTCAAGTGATCACCACCGAGTGATGAATTGATTAAGATGGTGAGAAAGACTGTCAGGCAGACCTGGAAAACCTAAAGATTAATGAGAAGGAATATCTGGCAGAGGCTGCTGTTCATGGGGTTTTTAAGCATTCCTCACATTCCATGTAAGGAATGCTTTTCCTCTCATCCTGGTGGAGGTTGAGAACATTTGGTCTAAATGGATGACATGGTGGTCACAGCTAGCAGGAGCTGTCGTCATAATGTTGTTGGTGCCTTCTGATGCCCAAATTACATACAGTGATATGAAAAGGAGAGGAAAAGGGTAATTAATTAACCTCTGCCTGTAAAACTCTTTCAGTGTCCACTACCTGAGAATGATCTGTATTGGCCTAGATATCTTATAAACCTCATATGATTTGATACATAAAATCTTATTTCAGCAAATCAGTGGTAAATAATGTTAGTGCTAATAAAGTGGCAGGTAAATAACATCCAAAATAATCCTGTGGCCATGGGCTGTGGTTTGTGACTCAGCTGTAAGAGATAGAGGTGGGGCAAGATGGCTGAGGGTACAGTCTCATGTGATCATGACCACAGTGCTGGAGTCTTTGAGTCACACTTCTTCCACCAACTCGAAGTTCAGGGTTCAGGGTAACACTTGGACAGATGCAGCCTCACATAGGTTATGTAGTATGGTTTGTGGATCTGGTGTAGGGAGGATTTGGGTTGGATGGCTGAGGGCTCAGTGCCAGCAGGTACAGCAGCACACCTTGCGCGTGCTGATTATGTTCTCTTCCTTAGATTTGCAGCAGGACTGGAGGAGTAATTGGATTTCACAGGGAGAGATGATACAAGTGGAACAAGCTCCACTGTCTGCAAAGACAAAGCTCCATCCAGACAAATTCTTGGAACTGTGTTGAGTTTTAAATACTGTAAATAAGGCACAGTGTGTAGAAAAGCTCATTGTTATCTGCTGTCATTAAGAACAACCTGCTATAAAAAGTCGTCATCCAGCAGGCCACTGGTGTGAATGTCTATTGTCAGATTTTATGTTAGTGCAGTGGGTCTTGGGTTCCTCCTGGTGTACAACAATGCCCTGCCTCATGTGGTGAGAGTATGCAGGGCATTCCTTGAAGAATTAAGGAACTTATACCATTGACTGACGCTCACCTGACCTAAATCTAACAGAACATCTCTGGGATGTTATGTTTCAGTCCATCTGATGCTTCATGGTTGCATCTCAGATTGTCTAAGTCAGCGGTCTCCAACCTTTTTTGCGCCACGGACCGGTTTATGCCCGACAATATTTTCATGGACCGGCCTTTAAGGTGTCGTGGATAAATACAACAAAATAAAACTAGTACCGGTACCGAAAAAAAGAAGATTTATTCATAACACACGTGAAAAGACCAAGGAAAACCGAGTTAACGATAAAAACGATAACAAAATAACGCTGAAAACCGATAAAAACAACAACAACAAAAAAGACCAGTACCGGTCCGAGGCCCGGGGGTTGGGGACCGCTGGTCTAGGTGGTAAGTGGTGTCCTGAACCAGATCTCCCAGGACAGAATCTGCAGTCTCATTAGGGGCATGCCCTGACATTGTTATGAATGCATGCAAGCACATGAGGGCCATACAAACTGAGTTTCAGTATAGAGGTCCAGCATATTTTATTTTTTTTTAGTTTTTAAGTAATTTGATTTAAATCACTTGAGTTAATTAGTGATTGACAACAACTTGATTTCAAGCACTTGTCATCTACCCCTGTTGATTGTCTGGGTGGTGACTTTCCCTTTTTAACAAAAAGATCACGCTTCTCACCTCCTCCAACTCCAGGGCACTGGAGAACAGAGTCTATCTGTTGGTTGAACTTGGAATTCCAGAGGAACAATGTGTTTTTGATTGCCAAACAGTGAATAAATTCTGTATCCTATTCAAGCACTTGTACTTTCAATTAAGAGGCATTTCTAAATGGATTTTAAAGGTCTTTTAATTATTTATTTTTTTTTTTATTTTGTTCTGAGTGTTTGTGGAAGCAAGATGGAGTGTAAATCATGGTACATGTTCATAATGAATTTGACAGATCAACAGTGGGACTCGTGTGTTTCAGGAGGGCATAACGAGACTGAACACCGATGAGTCACTACTGACTTTTTTTAAAATTCTGTTTAAAAACCACACAAGCTGCTTCCTCTTGCTGATTCCAGATCAGGCAGTAACAGCGTTCATGTTGTCAGAACAAGTTTGCTTTTTGCTCTGTGGTGAAATATGTCAGCCTGAAAGAAGACAGCAGCTTTGTGGTCGTCTGCCCTCCTTTTTATGCAAACATCCCCCCAAGGTTCTGTGTGGTTACTGTGTTTCACAGAAGAGCTGCTAAGAAGGGGAAAGAAACTATGCAGCTATAAAAAGATTTTTACTTAATCTCTTCATGAAGAACAGCACAAATATTTTGCCATAGCTGCAGTATAGAAAATAACAGTAATGTAATGTGTGTAAATTCTTAATTTCTGCATTTTACTCTACAGAGAGCGATTCAACTACAATCTACTCAGAAGTGAGAACAGGCGACTTCTGCTATGGACCAAAAACCACCAGATCAAAGAGTCCCAAAGGTACAGCTGCACTTTAACTTTGTACCGAGCTGAGCAAACCACATCTTCACTGAGGCTCAGTAAGTCTAATCTCTGTCAAAAACAATACTGTAATGTTGTTTGAACTGTGTTTGTGTTCAGAGTTTAAACCAGAGCCAGACGCCATCTACTCTTTACTGAAGTAGTCCACCAGTCCAACCACACATGTCCACCTGCTGGTCTCTAACTGGTCCCCCCAGCACCTCAGACCAGAGGACATATGGAGCAGCAGTGCAGTAGCTTCTCTGAGTAACTACATGTCATTCTTTTGTTTTCTCATAACGAATGACTTTAAGGAATCATGTTTCATCGTTTTTGGCTAAATGATGTGGCTTAAATATCACATCCTATTTATAACTGGTGCTTTAACTGTGTTTGTTACAAAATCAGCAATGATAAATAATATAAATATGTTCATGTGATATCTTTGATAACTTTTACTGTTATTTATATTGTATTCATGTTTGTCGTCTCCTGTAGCAGTGATGTAATTTCTCTGTGTTTTTCTCTCAAGGGTTCAAAAAGACATTAAATGGAAAACTTGACTTGTTGGTTGTGGCTAACTGATACACATCTCTCTTCAGTACAGAAAAAACTGAATAACCGCAGACTCAAAATAGTGATGAGTGGCTGAAAACTGCACAGAAAAAACCCTTCAGTACAGGATGTGCATGTTTGAGACCAAAGCAGCCCTGCTTTTAAGATTTCGCTTAAAACGTTCCTTTTTGCTAAAGCATATAGTTACAGCTGTTTAATTTACATATTTATTTTGATATCACCCAGAAACCAGACAGCACCAGCTCACGTGTTAAAAAGCAAAAAAGATGTTCATGTTTGTTATTCTTTCTAAACAAAAACACTGAAAAAGTCTCTCATGGCAGCTTCTCAGCAAAGACATGAAGCGTCCGATTCACTAAACCTCATGAACATGTGACTCACACTGGTCATGTTTCCTGATCCAGCTCAGAGCTCCTCCTGTTAAATCTCTCAGTGCACTTTAAATGTGATTTGAAACCATTTTAAAGTCTGCTTCCATCCATCGTTAGCCTGCGCAGCTGTAAACAGGATGTGAAGCCACAAAGGGGTCTGAGCTAATGTTTAAACAATATTCAAAACCAGTTTGTCTTCAAACTGCAGAGTAACAGAACAAGTGCTGAGTGGGTTTGATTAGCTTTGTCTCACGTTGAGGCAGCACGCTGTCCTAAATTTAACAGCAGGAAATAAAAGAGATGAGCTCTGCAAACACATGAGAAGAAGACCTAAACTAAACTTGTCACCACAGATGTTTAGTATGAAAGGACACTACAAAAGCCATCTAAGTCTTTAAGATGAGGCTCCTGTCACATGAGTTCACTGCTGGTAACATTAAACTGGGGCCTCTGGAAACACTTACCTTCACAAACAGCCACCACACAACTCAGGACTTGAATGTGAGGCTGAAACAGACGTGGGTCATCCAAAAAAAATTCACAATCACATTTTATATGAATTATAAAGCTGCTGCTGTTTCCTTCCTGTTTAAAAGGAGTTATTTTTTCCCACTGGCACTAACTGCTGCTCACAGGGGATTGTCTGATGGTTGTGGTTTTCCTTTTGTTTATCTACAATATACAGATGCCTGGAGTTGGCTGCTGAATACCTAGATTTGCATTCAGTTATTTTCTATGAAGCTGTAGGCACTGGGGGACACATTTAGTGGGGGGTTTGAAAACATTTTGAGTATCAGATGCTCTGTTTTTCACATTCTAATGAATCTTTGTGGGTTGAGCTAATAAGTTATAACTATTAAACATAGAAGTGATGAGTTAGCAGCTCTGTTGCTTGAATTGGAAGTTTGGATTGGTTGTAGATCACCTGACTGAGGATGTGACCCATGCACCAAGAGCCGGAGTCCCTGCTGCAGCAGCCTGGGTTTAAATCCTGGCTGGGCTCTTTCCTGCAGATTGTTCCCTCTACTTTACTGTCCGAGCCAATAAAGATAAAAACAAAAACTTGGATGCCACAGACAAACCGCTCACCCATCAAAACTTCATCTCTCTAGCCTTGCTCCCTGTAGAGTCTTTGGCAGCATTGCTATCCAGTGGTGAACGCCCCTTTTTTCCTTTAGCTCACTAAACATTTAAAATGTTGCTGCCATGACAAACTACTTGATAACAAACTGTCTGAAAAACAAACTGTTGTCCCGTTAATGTCGACAGGTTCCCATACATTTTGCACAAATGACAGGAAGCAAGGTCAGGAAGTACAAGTGTTTTTTTTAATAAGCCCTTTATAATCAGCAGCAATAATTTACTCTGGAGAAAATATTTGCAGCTTTAATTTAATTTATAAGCAAAATGTATGGTGCATAACTAAATGTAGGCTTTTGGTTTACAAGTTAAACTCATGACGGAGCTCTTATAAGCCACGGAGCTTTAAAGCCAGGTTGCTTCTAACTTCTCCTTTCTGCCGCAGCTTCCTCATAGAAGTTCTGCTTTCGGCTATGATATTTCATAATCGAGTATATCTTTAGTAGTATTGTGCAATACTAGAACCAAGTAAATACAGGACAAGTATGACCAATAAAAGTACAGATACTGATATGTTTATTTTATGAAGGCAGATTATGTCAGTGAGAGCAGTGTGTCATGGTCCTGGGTCGTTGGGTTTATGAAGTGATTTATATTTCCTGTTTTATTGTGATAGTCTTGTGCACTTTGTGTTCCTCGATCTTGTTGTTTCTTGATTTGTTCCAAACTGAGTATTTATTATTTAAGCTATTTACACCTGACTTTCAGTATTGTTGTGGATTAAAGGAATAAAGTTTAAGTTTGTTTAAGTTAACTTCTTTTCGCTGCAGTGCTGGGTTTGGGTTCACCTTTTGCCCAACATGCAACGAATCCTGATGCTGTTTGAATTCTTGACT